TAAAGACAGGTTTTTTTAAGTATTTTAAAGGTTTAAAGTGTTTTAGGAGATAAAAACAAAAACAGTGACAAATTTCAAGAAGTATAAAAAACATTCTGGGAAGGTAATCAACATTCTTTAGCACATTATCTCATATTCTTCAGGATTAAAGATTGTGATAAAACAATGAATTCAGAGTAATTAATATGGTCATAAAACTCAGTTTACACTGCTTATTAAAGCAGAGAAAAGAACTATGTCATCAAGGAGATAAAAACAAAAACAGTGACAAATTTCAAGAAGTATAAAAAACATTCTGGGAAGGTAATCAACATTCTTTAGCACATTATCTCATATTCTTCAGGATTAAAGATTGTGATAAAACAATGAATTCAGAGTAATTAATATGGTCATAAAACTCAGTTTACACTGCTTATTAAAGCAGAGAAAAGAACTATGTCATCATATAGAAATCTTCGGCCTAATTTCACTAATGGAGTAGGTTATATAAATTTATGCAAGACTTCTATCACTATAATTCTCAAGGAATAATGATTAGAAAGGACCATCCATAGTGTATGCTGAGCCCTACCTGTGGAGTGCAGATGTAATCCAGCCCCAGCTGTGCTTCCAAATTCTGGGCGTAGACAAACAAGGAAACCTGGCCATGGGTGGCTCTGCTCCTCTGGGCTACCAGTGTTACACTGCCATGGGTTTCATTCACTTCAAATCTTGAATATAAAGAATGCGTTAATTTTCCCCTTATAACTTCTGTTTGGCAGATGTGAAGCATCTAAACCTCAGGTAAGGACTCACACAGCCTTGGGCTCACCTGCTATGCTGCCATTCGATGACACCTCGGGCACCGTCATTGGCACCAATGATAATCTGTGCAGTCAAGCCTTCTGAATCTGAAAATACACAGAGACATATTCTTAAAGAATATAAATTAATATAAACTTCATTAAAATTGTATTTAAGGCCACGTTGATACAGAATTTAAAGGCTGAAGCTATATAATTTTTGCATGTGGATACTGTATATACTAAAATATGTTTAAGAAAGTTTTAAGAAATGCTTGTGAGATCAGAAAAGGAATATTTTTACCACCAAAAGCTACTAATATATAATCTAATCAACTAAAAGCAGTATGAAATTATAAGAACTGCGGTTATGGTTCTATAAATTAAACAATATTTGCATCTCTCTACTATTTTGTGAGGAGAGGAGTTGGAAAGAATAGAAGGGAAAAAGTGAGGAAAACATAAAAAGGGGAGATAGCACGGTGCAGAGAAATATACAGATTTGAAAAAGTAACACAGACGACAGCAATGCAAACTAGGCAGGAGAAACCAGAAGAGGGTTTGACAGACTAGACAGATAAACACAGTTCTCTTCTCCTTTGCATTTTGCATTCTGCATACCAAGTTCAGAGTGTTACATACAAATAGCTACTGTTCGATCCTTAAATATTAACTCTGTTCCCTCCGTGCGTGTGTGTGTGTGTATGTGTGTCTGTGTGTGTCTGTGTGTGTCTGTGTGTCTGTGTGTCTGTGTGTGTCTGTGTGTGTATGTGTGTCTGTGTGTCTATCTGTGTGTGTCTGTGTGTCTGTGTGTCTGTGTCTGTCTGTGTGTGTCTGTGTGTGTCTGTGTGTCTGTGTGTGTCTGTGTGTGTCTGTGTGTCTGTGTGTGTGTGTGCACGCGCACATTTAGCTGGTTTCTTAACACAGCATCCTCTACTTTAGAATACTTATGATAGCTGCCTAGATGGGGAAAGGAGTGGGAAGACTAATTCTCTTCAAGCTGAAGAGAGCAATGCTGTTCAGGAGACAATATAAATTCAGGGTTTACAGACAACAGGCTAGAGTCTTAAAAGTAGACACTCTAAAAGCATACCACGTTCTACCACTTCCTGTGTGATTTGGGGTTTATTATTAAGCTTCACTTTGCCTCAGCTGCCTCATATGCAAAATGGGAAGATGTAAGAAATGACTGTACTAACATACAAAACAATGGAAACAAGAGGCTCAGAAAATACACCACAAATGTTCACTACGCGAACCACTCTGGAATATAAGCCTGACAGGAGAAAGAGGAAGTGCTTTGTTGGTTTCCTTAGCATGAACAATAATCTCCTATTAGTACTTGATAGCCCAGTCACTGGAAGCATCAAAGAATTGAAACTAAACAAGCAATAACATGTAGAAACCTGGTTATTATTTTCAAAGTTGTTGCACTGTCTTCGGAAATTTATCCTGTCCATGTTTCATGCTTCTCCTCATCGTGGGTTAATTCCCTTCTAGCCTGCTACCTTCTACCAATGGAGCTGAGGAACCAGCTGCCCTCAACACTGCTCACTTCCAACCCAGAACACCTACAGGCTCAGGCAAGGTTTCCCAGCAGTACATGTCCAAGCTGACTATAGAGATTGTATTCAAGCATAGGAACACATCTTATTTAAAACATCTAAACAAATCTCCACCAAAGTTCAAGTTTTACCTTTCAGTCTGTAAGGAATTAACTGAGAATTTTCTAAAAGCATGCAAAGAAAAAGATGAAAAATGAGAAAAGAAGCAGAATTGGAACACAAATAAAATATAAGCTGAACTTGAAAGAAAATGAAAGCATCTGATAATGGAGCACTTACATAAAGAGCTATTTAAATTTTAAAAATAAAATGCCTTCAAAAGAAGTAATACCACTTTGAGGAATACAAATTTGGCTAGAGCATAGCTGTAAAATCCTAAGAGCATCATACAGTAATTATTGCCTTTACACTAATTTACAAAATTGCAATGGTAGTCTCTAAATTAAGCCTAGAATTTTGCTCAGCATATTTTCACACATGGCTGAAATTAACAAACGTAATGACCACTTTTGATTTAAAAATGAAGTTACTTTACTTCACTTGAAGTGAGAAAAAAAGATAAACAAGTGCCACTGTACCTAGTCTAGGAGGAAATGAAGTTAAAGGAGCCATAATAAGTTCGACATGGGTTAAATTCACCAGGAAATATTCTTCCAGCTCTGGTATATCATCCTGCAAAAAGTATATTCAATAGAAATCTTTAATTACGCTTTAAAGGAATTATTTACCATAAGATGTTTTTAAAGCTATATTACAAATATATTATGCATAAACAGTATGTGCACAATAAGAAAACACAGCAAAAGTATTTAAATGAGAAAGACAAATATAAAAGTATTATAATTGTATGTGGTGGTATAGGAAGTTAATGGGTTCAACAATATGAAGTCACCTCAATGTTATAACACATTAAACAGTCTTATAAGTAAACTATGTAACTATGCAAACCTATTTTAAATACAACATAAAAAAGACATTAAATTTCCATAGTATCTGATATTGGCAGTGAGGAATAGCCTGATGCCATGGAATCTATATAAACTCTGCAATTAAGAAGGCTTAGTACCACTTCTGGAACTTACAATGAGTTGTTTAAATTTTAAGGCTTCGATTTTACCATGTTTATTACAGGGGAAATAACAAACTGGCATGGGTTTGTTACTAATAATTAAAAACAATGTATATGGAATATCCAGCCTAGGGGAAATGCTTTAAAAGTGATAGTGGGGCCTGGAGAGATGGCTCAGTGGTTAAGAGCACTGACTGATCTTGCAGAGGACCCAGATTCGGTTCCCAGCACCCCATGGTGTCTAACAATCATCCTTAACTACAGTTCTAGAGGATCAGATACCATCTTCTGACCTCTGTGGACATTGCACAACACAAGTGCACTTACATACATGCAGGTAATACACTCATACACATAAAATATTTAAAAACAATGATTATTGTCAATCAATAATTCTACGATTAGCCATAAAAATAAGGCAGGTAAGCAACACACAAGAATTAGCAAACCCATGTCAGGAGTAGCTGGCCAATACCTACAAATCTTATACAGAAACCCAATGCATGTTTGTCTAAAATATCAGTACACAACTACCAATAAACACTTTTTTTGAGACATGTTTCCAAATGAAAAACCAAGAAGTTGAAAATCAGTCTCTAGGCAGCTAAATAATATTTAGGCACACAGCAACACCTCTCTCTTTACCACATGCCAGAGTGGCCTGCTTTTGCATGTCAGGCCTGCTGTGTTTCAGTGTAGTACTGCCTAGAGCACAGAAAGGGTTGAAAATAACTAAGGAGACAGGACAGTGCATTGAAAACCTCATGCTTAAGAAATTAGACTTGGTGGATGGATTGGGGAGGGGCATAAATTTTCTCCTTTAAAAGCGCTCATAACAGCCAGCCGTGGTAGTGAATGCCTTTAATCTCAGCACTCAGGAGGCAGAGGTAGGTAGGTCTCTGTGAATTCAAGGCCAGTCTGATCTACATAGTGAGTTCTAGGCCAGCTGGGGCTATAGGGAGACCTGTCTCAAAAAAAAACAAACAAAATTTAAAAAGCGCTTATAACTAAGGAATAACCCACTGATTAGTTACATTAGCAGCTTAGGCATTTAAATGATGATTTGATTGCAAGATTTGTAAAATCTTGTTACCTGTAACATACTGATGTAATAGGACCTTTTATTTTTGGATTTAGAGTTCTTATGATAGCTCTAGGTGCAGTCGAAATCAACAACTGACCTCAGATGGTAGACAGCTTATATAACTAATAATTTTGTAAAACTAAAATAAGTCCCTGACAGAATAAAAGCTTTCAAATTGAACCTGCAAAATACACAGTAACTGAAATTCCTTTTCAAATACCTATTCACTCTCTCTTGCCCACACATCATTCTCATCCGTCTCTTCCACAGTATTATTTCCTTAAACCTCTGAGTTGTGCATTTATATAGCTGAACTACAAAGTCCCCAAACACACAATATTCCACAATATGAAAACACATTTAGAGTGCAATTCAGTCACCAATGATTACTTTAAATTTGACTGTAATCTCGTTTTGTGCCATCAGCCTCTAGTGAGTTTCCCACTGTCTCTAATTTAATCAGTCTTTTCCACAGAGATTTTGATCTTCATGAATCTGTAGGTCTGATGAATCCTTTGGAATTATCAAAATGTTCTCTCAGGACCTCTTAGACCAGAAGCACCTTATAGGAAGTGTCCTAAGGAAATAATCTTCATCACAAGATTTTTCTTTAATAAAATAACACAGCAGCAGACTTGCCCATCTAAACAGGGATGCAAACTCCTGGGTGGTTTGAAGAAAATCATTCAGAAAAAGCAGTAAGTTGATTTAAAGATACCAGCAGGAAGAACCAATAAATGTATTCACAAAATCTCTGAATGATTACATTATTGAGCTTACAACCTTAAAGAAAATTTACAATTATTAAAGACAGAAAAACTAAAATTATCACATAATCTTAGTCTTCATGAAATTTGTTACCTTAAAACACATGTTGTTAGAAGTCTCTGACTGTATATTATAGTTTATAATATTCTGTACATAGAATATTCTATCCATTTCTACTTTCCACATGATTACTTCAGATTTAATATGATAATAGGGAAAACACAAGAGCTTTACCTCAAGAATAGTAATGTTGATGGCTGCTGTTGTTTCCCCTTCTTCCAAAACCAGGAAGCCCAGTACAGGGACGAAATCAACTTCCGGCTCTGCTAGGCTTCCTTCTGTTTGGTTCTTCAGCCCCAACATTCCAGGAACCGTGGTATAGGTGATATTAATAACTCCTGATTGAATTAGTTTTAAAAAGATTTTGAAATTATTTTCACCTTTACATAATGTCTCATTGTGAACTTTTTCAGTGCCCGCAGTAGATCCTATCACTGGTCCCAATTCCACACCATTTGCATGTCTATGACCTTCACCACCATGTTCATGTTTCAGTGATGTCCTACTGTGGTCAAGACACGCATCCCTGCCTCTGAATTTGAGAGTTTGGCTACAAGATTTGTTTTGGCCAACAGCACAGGGTACATTAAAAGTGGTGATGAACTCACTCTAAGCCTATAGTACAGCAGGCGCCGCATGCTCCTAGGTGCTTTCTTGTGCCTTTACTTATCCCAGAGGGAAAATGAGAAACATAAAGTAAAGTCACCAAGCCCAAGCCCAGCCTGGTCAGCAGACCCCACAGCTAGTCAGCTACCATCTGCTGCTGAGATTGCAAGGCTGTTTGTTACATAGTATTTCTGTGAAAACAAAAAAATTCCTTTAACCTTTGCAAAACTAAAAAAGTTATGAAACATTCTCCTGAATTAATATTATTTTTTCCTTCCCTGATTTATTTTGGTAATGGCTTCAGTCACACAACTGGAATTTAAAAAAATAAAGTAAAATAAAATAAATGTTTAAAAAGGCCTTTCCCTGGAAACCCCATCCACTATTCACTGCAAAGGAACACAAACCTAGAGATCCAAACTCTCGGTTGATGAAAAGTTGAATTGTTGTGTTAGCCTCCTGTAGTAAAATAAATCTTGATGAGAGAGCAAAGTTTAAAACACCATGTGGTTCATCACTGGCTTCCACCGTCAACACAGCTGCATATCCCTGGGCATCCAGCAGAGCGATTCCTGCAGGTGGGACTCCTAAGAACATCAGGGAGCCATCAGGAAATCAAATGGCAACTTTTCAGTAACTTCTAAATATGGAAAATGCTTAAATGCTTGTCATTAATTTCTAAATAAGGGAAAATGCTTAAATGCTTGCTGAGCATATGAACCTCATCCAGTTCTCACTTAACTAAAAGAAATCACCAGGCTGACAATCTGCATTCTATTCCATTTTCCTTCTAGAGAGAAAAATCATAAATTCTATCACCTAATGTATTATTGTCGTTGGCTATATTGGCTGTCTGAATTACAGAAATTTAAGAGAAACTGAAAATGTACCCAGACAATTTGCTCAAAGATGGCTAAATTTAAATTGTCCATAAACAGTAACTGGTCCAAAATAAATTGATTTGTTAGCATACAAATAAATTCAGGAATTTCTATCTTTGGAAATGTATTTTATTTGATAAATTACTGTTTAGCAAGTTGAGCATGGTGGTGAACACATGGTCATGTCAACACTTGGGAGGCTGAAGCAGGAAGATGAGTTTGAGGCCAGCTTCAGCTACATAGTGAGTTTGAGGCCAGCCTGGGCAACAAAGCAAGACCTTGTCTCAGGAAACTAACAAGTACATAGCAATGGCAGAACATTTTAATTTTTATGTGCATGTATGTGTGTGAATGTGTGTGTGTGCCACAGCACATGTGTGTGTAGAGGGCAGAGGACAACCTTGTGTACCATTCCTCTCCTTCTACCTTCTTTGAGACGAGGTCTTTTGCTGTTTGGCACTGCATATGCTGGACCAGCTGGCTTGTGAGCATCCAGGGATTTGCTGCATGAGTGCTTGGAATTACAGGTGCACACCACCATGACTGGCTTTATGTGGGTTCCAGGGATCTGAACTCAGTCAGGTCTTCACACTTGTGCAGCAAGTGCTTTACCCACTGAGTCATCATCCAAGTCCTTATATAGCAAAACTTTTTTAAAGCATTTTCTTTAGCACATGAAGTTAAGTGTTCTTATTCCATCTTAGTATTTTTCAGTCTAACATTTCTATGGGAAAGGTAATATTTAAAGAAATTTTAAGAAAGGATCTGGCTTTATAGTTCTGGCCTGCCCAGCAATCTACACCTAGACTGGTCTCAATCTATAATCCTCCTTCCTTAGCCTCTTGAGCGCTAGGATCACAGATGTGCACCACCATGCCTGGCTCCAAAGTAATAGTTTTTTTTTTTTTTAAATTGTCACACACCTACTTGTTAAACACAGAGACAGAAACTCAAAACAGTTTGAAAATGAATTTTGATTTACCTTGTGTCTTGAGATCATACAGAATAACCTGGTATACTTCTTTTTCCTCAGGAATACTGTCATCCAACAAATGCACAAATATTGTTTTATTCAATGTACCCTATGCCAAATAGAGAGAAATACCATCTTGTACTGTTACTGCACATAAACCATCTCCTGTTTTCCCTGGCCTTCTACATTGTGCACTTAAACATGGCTTCATCTGAACAAACATCATCAAAATTAGTAAAGCAGACGCCACTGACCAAAGAGAAATCAGGCTTAAAGAAGATACAAAATGAACTGGAGCTATTAAATACCCAGCAAATCAATTTAAATCTTAACCAATGCATGACGTGTCTAAGAAAGCAGCAGTTTCAGGAGATTTCTCTGGTAGTGAGGAGTATTAAATTAAAAAAAAAAAAAAAAAAAAAAAAAAAAAAAGGTAACATCTGGTTGTTAGATGCTCAACATAGCAACAAGGCAGGAAGCAGTAAGAGTCTGGCTCAGTATCGGGCAGTGGAAAGGAAAAGACAAAAATAAATACTTATCGCTGAAGAACACAAACCAGGTGGGTGTAAAGAAGGTAAAGAAGGGATGACGAGAAACACAGTGCAGCGGTGTTCGTCTTCTTCCGTTTTCTTCAAAACACATGGTTTTCTCCTAGAAAGTTACAACAAAGCTTTCTTTGTAGAATTACCTCAGAAAAGAAGAGTTGTCCCGTAAAGTTAGCAAAATTGAGTTCTAGATTTTGCCCAATAATTTTCCAGTCAATAGTGACATTTCCTCGGCCAGGACGTGTTCTGATCACATGGAATTGCAAAATTTCTCCTGCAGGAAAAATATATGGACTAATAAGTGCTTAATGTAAAATAAATAATATTTGAACTCAACAAAGTCCAAACCCCAAGTATGCAACTAATATTATGATTCCTTTTCCAAGAACATTTTGGAGCTGTTCTGTTTTGAATTTTCTAGGCACTTTACACGTGCTTGTTATTTATTAACACAGGGATTTCCTTCTAAACACATTCTAATAGAACTCAGGAAATTCAGATTTTTATAAAAGTTGAGAAAGCAAAGTAAAACACAAAGATGTACACACTACAAAATATGCACCGGAACACGGTGTTCCATAAGTTACAGTCTTCAAGTCAGCACCAGGGTTAACACAAATAAATTCTTTCCTTCAGCTCTCAAAAGGCACAAATTCCTTATACCAGTATGCAATGTGATTTTACACAATGCATGCATTAAAATGCTTGCAAATACCTGAAAATCTTATTTGTTTAGGTTGTAACTTACATATACCATCAATGACTTTGTTTTATAAAAAAAAAATAAAAAGGAAAGTGTCAAATCTGTACATCAACATCTGTAATGTCACCAAAGTTATTGTTCTCCTCCCCTAACTGAATAGCCGTTTTCCTTTCCTGGCATTTATCCACATGTAATACCTTATAACACTGAAGAAAATCAATAAGTCGTTTCTTTCAAATTGTTAAATGGGGAAGAAAGCTGGGAGTTATGCTGAGTTCTGTGTGGCTTATTAAAAATACTCTCAATACCCTAGTTCTATAGAATGGTAAATACAAGCTATGACACACTATGAACAACATCATTAAATTATGAAAAGACAAAGAGGATTATATTTGAAAGGCTTTAACAACACATCCTTATTCATAATTTTCAACACAAAAATATAGTTGAAATCCACAAGTATTCACTAAAAATGTCATTTTAAAAATAGTGTTTGTGTATATAAGTTGTTTTCTAACACTTTTCAAACAAGCAGAATAGAAATAAAGTAATCATATGTAAACACCTTGTTCTAATAGTTTTTCAAACTACTATACTTTTTAAATTTTCTAAAGATAATAAATTTAAACATCTTTCACTTTATTTGGCTCTTTGGTAGTGCTGGGGATCACGACCAAGGCCTCCTGCATGCTAGGCAAGCACTCTAACACTGTACTAATGTTCAGACATAAACTTAATATTCCTAATGAAATCTATTAAATAAAAAATGCCCTGGACTAATTCATTTAACTTAAAATCATAAAAAATAAAAGTCTTATGCTAAATTTAAACACAAAATTTCAACAAAATGAATTATTTGGAGATCATACATAAGAAGGTGAAAGCATCAGAATAATTTTAAACACATTTTTAAGTATTTTAACAAAATTTTTCGTCACCATAACATTAGAAGACTTTGATTTTTTTTCTTATTTTAGCACATAGGAATCACTAATCAGGAATTAAATACTCCAAAAGATTAGGAATAATAAATAGTATTCAGTCAGTCAGTCATAACTGCCAGGTCGTCATTTGACGTGTTTTATATTCGCATAATTCACCTGAACAAAATATGGACAGTGCTATGAGCTCCTAGAGTCCTTCCATCATACAACACAGAGATGCTTCTTCCACAGCAAATCTGTACTGAAGACAGAAGGAGATCTTTGAATGTTTCATCTCTAGTGTTAACTGGTAACAAAGAGGATTCTGGAGGTGGTTTTCCTGATTTTGAAAAATCACAAAACCTGATACTAATTCAAAAAATACAGATAGCTTCCAGAAATGCAAAAAAAGGCAAAAGGACAATAAAATTTAGATAATAAACATTAATGTTGAAGGGGAATCTATACTTATAATAATAAGATAAAGGTTGCAAGGATTTATATAAAATGGGACTATATCATTTTGCAAGGAAAGCAAAAATAAAATGTACAGAGGAAGAAATAATAAAACCTTTCCTCAAATTTTCTGCCTATAAAATACTCAAAAGTGTGATACTTCTTAATAAATATCAACCTTGCAAGAAACTTGCAAAAAAATATAGACAGAAAGAGTTTGAAACATAGCACATCTAATGCCCACCTATAAATGAAAAGTAAAAATGACTTCTTCAGCAAATAATCTTATAAGTCTTCTGAAAACTTACCATGTCAACAGCAAGAATAGGATGAAAATTTTTCTAAACAATAATCAAAATGATAAAAATTAGCTCTGTTTCTCCCAGGAAGACTCCCAAGAGGTGGGGCCACTGGAAATGCTTCCTGGGAAAACTGACTTCATACACTGGGAGGCTGCCTTCTCCAGGCCAGGACTCAAAGAACATTCAGAGGAAAAGGAGAAACTAAACTAGGGTTTTGTCTTCCAAATAACAGAAGGGAATTATGGGGGTATGTGCATTCTGATTTTCATATACACATTTCGCTACCTCTGTGGAGGAAAGTACTCAGCTGCCAAGGTCTGAGTATCACTGGAAAAGTTCACATAGCCACCCAAAGTGATGGACACTTTTTTCAGTATTTTTGACTATTTCTTTTGAAGGTCATTTTAAAAACAAATACAAAACCATCTGAGAAAAGAGTTACACAGATTATGCTCACCAAATAAGTAGACTGGTTAAACCAAAACAAGGGAAACAAGTTCCCTCTGAAATTCTACAAATAAGTTCTGTTGTCCTGAAGGTTCTTATACTTCCAAAGGGGATGGGGGAGCATGGCAATTACAGCTGCCTCGTACCATGTAATATACAGTAGCAAACAAATTTTTCCTTTTTTCCCAATGAATCAGTTTGTGCCTTGGTTTTATATATATATTTTACTTTTTGAGAATTTCATTCATGAGTATTATATTTGTATCATGTCCACCCACCCATCCCAACCCCACCAACTCCTCCTATGTCCTCCCCACTCCCTCGTGGTTTCTTGTCCTCTTCTCTGACTATTATTGTTACATATAGATATGTACATTTATAAATATACATATATAATGCACTTTTTTAAGATTTTAGAAATTCAATGGGATTTGGTGGGTTTTCTTTTAAAAACACAGCAAGGCCCTGTAAAAAGACAGGTACAACAAGTAGGTACAAGTTGGCAAAGACAGTCACTTCACATTCTGTTTTGATACCCGTCTCTTCGTTAATTTTCCATTCTCTATGTTGTCTGTGAGAGGAGAAGGAGCTTAAGAGTAAGGGTTTTCTGCAACTTGCATCTGTCTCTCCAGCAGCTGCTCTGACTCCATGGCAGACCCTGCACATCAGTCACTGGATACCAATCCACACTAATACTGTGAGTTCCTAAGAGCTCTGCAACTCCTGGTGCAAAGCACGTTGACTGAAAGTGACACATTTTGACCTTAGGGAGAAGATCTATCAAAAAGTAGATCTAGTCTAGGGGCTGGAGAGATGGCTCAATGGATAAGAACATTGGTTGTTCTTGCAGAAGACCCAGGTTCGAATCCCAGTACCCACATGGTAGCTAACAACTGTCCATAACTCCAGTCCCAGGGGATCCGACAGCCACTTCTGACCTCCAAGGACATTGCAAAGACATGGGTGCACTTAGCTACATGCAGGCAATGCACACATATACCTAAAATAAAAATAATAAATAAAAAATATTTTAAGTATATCTAGTCTAATACCAATAAAGACTATGAATGAAAACTACACTTTAACAACTAAGTGGTATCTCACTACTAGTCACCAAACCAGGATTGTTTTCATGAAGATAAACATCAACCACAATGTTTATAAATAGAAAAACATAAAAAGACCATAGCTTAATCAATAAATATATACATGATATACATGTGTCATTGAAACTGATTGCCTCTATATTTAAAAGAAAATGAGTTGGGCCAGGCGTGGTGGCGCATGCCTTTAATCCCAGCACTCGGGAGGCAGTGGCAGGTGGATCTCTGTGAGTTCAAGGCCAGCCTGCTCTACGTAGTAAGTTCCAGGACAGCTGGAGCTACAGGGAGACCCTGTCTCAAAAAAGATGAAAAAAAAATGAAAATAAATTAAAAATTATAGGAAAGTAAGTACTTTAAAGACAGAATGTCCATATGAACATTAGAGAATAAAATGGATTTCCTTATATAGTAAAGAGGTTCAAATACCTCTTTTTTAAAACAACTGCATTTTTCATTGAAATCCTTTTGTTAAAAAAAAAAAAAAAGTCACGCTGTCTCCAAGAACCAACAAAGTTCAATCCACTGACCATGCTCTGAGGATTAGGATGCTGTTGAGCCGAGTGAGTGAGATATCTCACACAAGTTTATAGTACATGCTATATGGACTACAACCACGGTAAAATCCACTGTCCCTTATTTCCAAATTCTGTCCATTGCACATGAAAGAAAATAGTATTTAGTGCTGGGCATTTCTCCCATTGCTTTAGGACAAAACAGAGAAATAGGATTTGACAGAACAAAGTACCTTGTTCAACACTAGAGCAACTCCCTGTGAGTCGAAAATGGAGTTTAGAGTCTAAAGTCCAGCATGGTCTGTGTTTTTAATCTAATCATTTAAATGAAACTTGAAAAACGGGCCAAAAACAGTGTTAACCTCACTGAAAGCCCATTTCATGTGATTTTTAAACTCTAGTTGCTTAGTGATCATCTTTGAAGAATTACTATGAAGCTTTCGTTTTGGTAAATATCTTCACTAACATTTCTCTACACAGTTTTATGATAATGCAGACACACTCTGAAAACTGAATTCTTCACGTTTTTTCATAAAATAAAATTAACTTGGACTCTGGAAAAGGTCTTAGAAATAAAGGGAATAAAAGCAAAATTACCCCACATTTTTACTTTGAAAACATAAAAAAATCTCAGGAGCACTCGCACAAGCAATAAAAGCAATTCAGCAGTGTCTTCTCTGTGCTCATCTCCTAGATCAGTATGCGAAAGCAGACTTTTAAACAATAACACATCTAGGATATCTGTTTAATTACTAATTCCTTTTCTTCTTTGTATTTCCTATGGTTCTTTGTTAGAAACTAAAGAGACCACAATATGGTTTACAGGTGAAATTCATGCAGCCCCAAAAGAATACAGGTACTGGGGTCTGTTGTTTCTCCAAGATGCTGTGGTATCCACCCGCAGAGCCTTGCTTCTTCGGAGGACTTCAGCCCACTATTCCCCTCACCACCCAATACTCACAGGATGAACTTGCGTTAACAATTGCCTTACAGTGAAAAATCACTTTAAATGGATGCTAGATATCTACATTCTTTATAAGCAAAGTGCCATAATATTGTTGAAAAGCACATGACTTGTCTAGCTCTGTGCCCCTTTTAAATATAATGTGTCCTGGGCCCTGACCTCCATTCAACGAATACTTTGATAGGTTCTCCTACACATTATTTTCCTTCCTTACACTTCTACAACAAAATAAAAAACATTCCTCTGTGATCTGTTTTTCCAATGTTTCTCCTTTCCTTGCTCTCATGACCAATGAAGAGTGCTTCTCAAAACTGTATACCAGGAAAGTCGGGGCTTAGTTGTTTCATTTTTATTTTATCATAAACTGCCATTTGTAAAACAAAATAAATGGAATGACTAAGTAAGCTAAATAGCAAGAAAACACACACATAGAATGGAAAGCCCCTAGATACTGCCTTTGTGTATCACAGCAAAGGGAAACTATCGTAAAATTTCTCATCTTCTAGTCATAGACCAATAGCAAGACTTCAGGCAGCAGCTGGCCTGAAGATCACAGTCTGAGAACCACCGGGCGTGGCTGTGTCCCTTACTCATTTTTAAATATTTGCTTCCCATCCCCAGTTTCCTTTGAAATTCCTGCTACAGCTGCTGCTACTGATGACTTTTTTCCTTTGGAAACTGTTATAATCCTTTGTCCTTATTCTCTTTAGCTCCTTCTCCTCTCACATAACTTTCCTTTCCAGCATCCTAGTCTGCTCTTCCACGTTGCTCCATCCAGGATAATATTCTTTTTCTCTGAGTTCATGAAGATTTTTCAGATTTCAACTATCATCTCAGAAAATCCAACTTCCATCTCCAATCTGAGGCATTGCTACTCAAATTCATTACTCTTCCAACCAAAATCACGTCAAATGTTCAGAAGTTCCTGTACCGTCAGGTTGTGCAGCTGATACAAATCCAAGCATAACAATCTCTGCTCCCAAGGTGCCCTGTAGGACGGGCTTTGGATTCCAGCTGAGGTAAAGTTCCACCACTGATCTCAAGTTCTATTTCTTTATGTAGGAATGTAGCAGATTCAGGGACTGGAGAGATGGCTCAGCAGTTAAGAGCACTGGCTATTCTTACAGAAGACCCTGGTTTGGATCCCAGCAACCACACAGTGGTTAACAACAATCCATAACTCCAGTTCCAGAGGATCTGACACCCTCTTCTGTCCTCCACAGGCACTGCATGACATGTATGCACTTACATACATGCATGCAGACATAACACTCATTCACATAAAATTTTTAAAAATTCAAAAAAAGAGTGTAGCACATCTTCTGACAACCATCACACAGGGCTACTACTAAAATAGGTGAAATAATGAGTGTGATCTGGCATACAGAAAGCACTCCAGAAATGTTCTTGTCATTATTACCAATTATTCCTCCTGTGACTTTTTTTTTTTTTTTTTTGGTCTTTTTGAGACAGGGTCTCCCCAGTACCCCCAGCTGGCCTGGAACTCACTATGTAGACCAGGCTCACCTCAAACTCACAGAGATCTGCCTGCCTCTGCCTCCCGAGTGCTAGGTTTAAAGGCATGCACCACCATACCCAGCCGACTTTTTAATTTATGCTACAATTTTTCTTTATACTGGATTTATGACAACTTGTTGGTCATTTTTATTTATTAATGGTAGGGCAACATGCAATTCTAAACCACTAATAAAAGTAAAGAGTGTCAAAAAATGGCTCACACATTTTTATAAGTTCAATAAAGTTACAAGTTGGAAGTCTACAATACAGAGGCAGATAATGCACAGTAAAGTGGATTCAGTTTCTGGCATAGCTACTACTGAGCTGCTTGACCATGCTGTCACTTAATCTTTCTGTCTCAACTTTTGTAGTTTCATCAGTAGAATGCAAATGCCCGGGCTGCATCATTTTCATCTCTTACATCTTTTCAGTAAAATTATCTTTTAAATACAAAATGTGACTGTGTGCTAAAGTACAGTCCATAAATATGGCTTATTAATTTTAAAACACATTATTCAAAGATACTACTGCTATACTGTTTGAAACAAAACTTAGGCTGCCTGTGACACAAAAAACTAAAGACGCAATAAAGTGACTATGTTTTAGAAAAGAACATTGTATAAGGTTTTTTAGTTTTGCACTCTGTTCATAAAGCACAGCAACTATAAAATCTAGGTTACAATATTCACCAATTATGATTATTTTTAACAAGAAGCCAATGTTTCACTGTTTAAGAACAATAGATACCAAAATAGACACGCTGCACTTACCAAGAGCTACATTAAGCACTTTACATACAAAGCTCACCTTCTCCTCCCAAAGAACCCTACGAAATATGTACAGTTTTGCCGTTTAGCAGATAAAAAGGCTGAGTATCCCAGGTTTGATGCTCACATCACTCCCAGCAATGCAGAGAGACAGGCTAAAACACCCTGCCACCAGGCTCCTACATCTAGTTAAACAATTCATACCAAGTGGCTCTCCACCAAATGCTACACAGATTAAAAGCACAGCTCAACAAAAGAAAGAAAACATCAGAAGCTTGAAACGACTAGGCAAAATATGACATCCATGGAAAAGAGAAAGAATGCACTCAACAGTAAAAAGAACCCACCTTCGTGCCCTATGACAGATCGGGAAGCTGTCTGAAAGCTGATGATTCCCGCCACATTGTCATTGGCCAAAATGTTCACTCTCACAGTGTCGGAGCTGGGCAGAATTCTGCTTCCCCCCTCAGTGTGCACCAAACGAATTAGGATGCTTTCATCATCTTCTGGCTCAGAATCATCCAAAATGGTTAAAATGACTGACTTTTTGGTTTCACCTAGAAAAAGTTAACGGTGCCAAAGCAGTCAAGCTGCCAACCTGGTGAATTCAGTAATGCCCAAATTAACCTTTATTTTAAAAGAGTAAATAAAAATATATGAGCTAATTATAATGATTCAGTTATTGTGAGCAATATTGTCCCACTACAGCAAATTTTGTGCATGTTAAGATACTTGTTTTCTCATATATAAAGCATTGTAAAATTTCATTACTGTGGACAGATTATGGAGGATAGTTAATGCTAGAAAAAGTTAATGGGTAGAACTATTTTAAAGAATCACAGGTTTACCTCCTGGTCTTTGTCAAAAACAATGCTGTAGCTAGGGAAAAAGCTTTGAAATCACGTTTAGATGCACTTCACTTAATGAAAATGAACTCTTTCTTATTCTGGCATTACTGTGAAACATTTTATTCAACCCATCGCTTCCCTCAAAGGTCACAAGCACACAGGGAGTGGTAGTCAAAACAAGACAGAAAAGAGATGACAAGTTCTGCACAGGGCCACTAGCCAGAGTGAGATGAGTGTTTTGGTGACCAGCTGAGAGGACAGCATCAGAACAGGTTTCCAGGGCATGCTGGAAGCATGAATGGAGACAAAGGAGGAGAGCACAGAGGCAGGGCAAGGGCCAAGCCATCTATCCACTTTTTATTTCGATGTAGCACTCCGCCGACAGAGAATGCCAGTGAACACCCTGAATCCCAACACAGCTTCTGCCTTCAACCCAATGTGTCCCAGTTCAGTTCCTCCCCATTTTCTGGAAAAGGGATGAAAAAGGAAAGCCCTTCATGCGTGTTCATCAGTGCACCATGGCCAAAGCTGCCTCAAGAAGGTATTTCCTTTTTTTGTTGTTGTTTTGGTTTTTCTTGTGATCCTGGGGATTAAAGCCAGGGCCTTGATTTGAGACTATTATCTAATAATTTCAGTTGCTATAAAGTCTATTTTGTGTGGTGCCAAAGTTATAATTCAAGGTGATAGTAATCTATGCAATGCTGTTACTTTATATGGTATGAACACTTGTAGTTATCTAAGCAATGAGAAAATCTAGTTATAATTTTTACCTCCACCCTATCTCATCATATTTTTGCTATTCCCTTTCAAGCCAGGGAAAATGCCACCAATTACTAACTTACCTCTTTCCATCATACATAAAGATTCAACTACCCCACTTCACAAATCACTTAAGAAATGACCAATATAGAAGTGTTTTATAGTGCTTTACTTTTATTTCATTTTAGTTTTTGAGACAGGTTTGTCTTATGTAGCCCAGCTTTGCCTCAAACTCACTGTGTAGGTAAAGATGACATTCAACTTCTAACCCTCCTTGTTCCATCAACCAAGTGTTGGAATTATAGGCAATGCACTACCATACTGGTGTTTTGCGTGTTGGTGGGAATCCAATCTAGGATTTCATGCATTCTAGAAGTACATTCTACTGACTGAGTTATATCCCCTGCCCTGTTTTATAGTG